TTTGAGGAGTGGGATTATTAGCCTTGTGCATGCCTTTGGAAAGACAGGCACGAAGATGGCCAAAGTGCCTAGAGATATTTAAAAACAAATCTGGAATCCCAGACTGAGGAACATCAGGAAGGAAGGAACCATTTCACAATGTGAGACAGTCCATGAGGAAGAGAATGTAAAAAATTAATTATCTGAAGGTACATGGGACTTTTGAATTACTTGGATATAAGCATGTATTTACTATTGGAAGAGCATGAGAAACAGTCGATTTGCACCTTGATCAAAAGAACACATTTCTTAATGCGAAACAGAGCCTGTCATGAAAAACTAGGAAAGTTCTCCCACGGAACTATGCATATGACTGTTATTTAAACCACATTTCGTAAAAAGAAATGTTAAAAAAAAAAAAAGCTTTGTATTTGCTCTAGCTTATGGACACTTTTGAGTAGATTGTACCAGTAAGACTATAAAACCCCGATGGTAATTAGTAAATGAAACCAGAAATGCCTCCACTAAAGATGGCTGCATAAAATAAAAGTGAAAACAGTGTGAGATCACAACTGGCCCATCATTAGATCCATAGAGGATCACCCTATGAAGTCAGTAGCAAGGTCACCGCTAATGTTGCCCCGCTGAGGACAACATCCAAAGAGCCAGTGGGTAGGGCCAGCAAGGGGAAACAAGAGAAAAATGTTACCCACTGTTAAGTAAAAGTAATACCAAAATAAGCCTGTGTCCTGGTTTCAGCTGGTTTGGGTAGGGGGTTTTCAGAAATGTCCTAGCCTAGGTTCTTCAAGCCTTATTCATGTATGTGTAAGGATACAGGTAAGTAAAATGCATAGGTGGGTGAATGGGCACCACACTGCCTGGTCATCTGTGGTGGATCTGGAGCTCTCTCAATGGCCTGGGCTACCATACAACATGCAGTGACATGCTGATTTCAGGAATAGATTCCACAAAGTCTGTCTTTAGATTTGGATTTCTCCCTTATGTTCTGGCAAGCTAAGTAGAGACATAACTCTGTGACCAATGCTAATGTTGCAGTAGTAAAATATTGGGCAAAAAATAGGAAAACCAGACCCACTTGCCCATAAGAATGATTTAATTAGTTTCCACTGTTCCAAATAGGTATGTTTCACATCATAAAGAATTTTTCTGTCATGAAAATTATTTTTTTAAGGGGAGGGAGAATTTTGTTTGCAGCAAGCTGACTTTATTGGTAGGCAATTAAATATTTCTTTGGATTGCTGTTCAAAATTAATTACTCATTAATGTGGAAAAAAACAGCTATAGTCTTGCTATGGATTCAGAGGTTTCCAACTGGGTGCATCTAATTCCAAGAAGAAAATGAAAAAAAAAGACCTAGAAAGAGTATTATAATTACTGTCATACGACAACCTGCTTGAGTCCAGATGTAGAAGCCGATACCACAGAAATGTTAATGTCTAGCAGTTTGCTGCAGGGCAATGACAAATGAATCTTACATATGTTTGCAGAATGGACATATTACGTGATCCTTCTAGAATCCCTTGGGTTTGTTTTCTTTTTTCCAAAGCTCCTACAGAAAATGCAAATCTACAATAATCTGAGGTTTTGGACAGTGTCACAGACACCTCTGTGTAAAACTTGGATCCTAAACTTGCATACCTAACCAACGTTGTCAACTCTGTACCCTCGCAAATAATTCCACTGAAAGCAATGAAATTAGTGGTGTAAGTAAATGTTAAAGAACTGGTTCCTAATTTCAGGTTTTCCCGTTCAGTGTACAAAGTTTGTTCCTCTGTGATGACCTAGGGCCTGCAGTGAGGACAGAGGATTGATGGAAGTGTCAGGTGTTAGGAACCACATCTTCAGAAGTTCAGATCTATTTGGTAAGGGAGTCAATCCTCAGAAATCAGAAAAAAATAATGATGACAAATGCTATGTGCAGAATTCCTATTGCAGCCAGTAGCAGCTTGCATGCAGAAAGATTTCAGAAGCGGGTATCGTAGCTAACTTTCCTTTTTCTCCACAAATTTTATGAATTTGACCAAAGTCTATGTGGCTTCAGTCTTAATAAAAAACAATAAAATTCTGGGATGATTTAGGCTGGAACAACCTCTGAGTGACTCGTCTAATCCAAATCATTCCATTTCAATCCAAATTGATTTCATTATCCCTAAGTCATTTATTTAAATAAATGGACTCAGAAGAGATCACAGAGTTTAATTATTGGAAACATTGGTTGGCACTAAGTTTGGAATTAAAATTATTCACTTTGAAGTCCTTAAGTGCATAGTATGACAATACCAGTTGTCAAAGAACATTTTTTCCTTGGTTAAAAAGGACAAGCTGAGCATAAAATGGAAGAATGAAACCTTGAATTATCCACATAAGATAATTATTCCCGTCAGCTGGAGAGTTACTCACTTTAATTTTCTTACCAGGTCATTCACTTTTCCATGCAGAGATAGGTGCAAGAACTTGGGGACAATTTCTTAAAATGTAAAAATCTGAAATGACACCAAAGTTGGACTGATGATATGATGATGCACATTAAACAGTATTGGCCTCACCACTGATACTCTAGGAAAGCCAATTGTAACTGTTCAGCTGTTAAGACTTTAGACTGGGGTAGATGCCTGTCATTTCCTTACAGAAGGAATCAGGCTGGTCAGACATCATTTACCTCTGCCCCTGGTCACCTTCCTGTCCTTCACGGGTATTGCAATAGCGAGGTTTGGTAATAGTTTTGCACCTACTTCGCCACAGCTGGCGTGATATTCTAAAACTGAGTCATATCGCCCCTCAACTTTCACCTCTCCAAACTGAAGACTGTAGTCTGTTTTTAGACTCCCCTTGTAAGGCAACTCCTCCACCTTCTTGTTCAGTTTAGTTGCCTTTCTGTGGCTCTTCTTTAAACTCACTACATCCCGCTGGAGATGAACACTGGTCTGCAGCAATGCAGTGAGAGAGTTCCTGCTGGAGTGCCATACCATCATTCAAACAGCTAAAGTGAAGGCTTTGGTTTACTCACTGATAGTTCAAAAAGATGGAGGAAAAGGAAAATAAGGAGTTTGGCTTGGCAATCTGGAAGCAGGCACTGGCACACCAAAACAGAAAACAGTAGTGTATATGCAGTATATCTACAATGACTGTGCATTACAGTCAGTGAAATGGGCTGGAGTCCATCTTTGAGATTTAAGGAGTAATACAACACTGAATATGACTTCAGAAAAAATCTGGGAAAGAGACTGTTCAACTGTTCATCTTGCACATTACTATTTCCTTAAATCATTCTATTATATATAAAAAACAACCTTCCATCCACAGAGGAACCTGTTTTGTGGGTGCTGCTGGTATTTCTATTTGTAGATTATTTTATTTTGAAAAGAGCTTTGCCCTATCCAGACACCTTAAAGAAGTATCCAGATTTACCCATGCAGACAGCAGTTTTAAGAGGAGGTTTGGGACACTCCTGGGAGCAGAGATGCTGTTGTAAATCTGGTATATAACAAGTTGTACATCAGATTATTTCCTATAGATACATGTGTTTTCCAGTTTTTCCTCTTGGCAGTTATAAGTTTGCCACTTTCACTCACTGTCCCCCAAAACCTTGTGTGCTGGAAAGTGTTCCAGCAGATCATCTACTACATTTAAAAAAAATTCAGCTTAGTAGAATTTTTTTTACATCTTGCATTGACCAAGGGATTATTAGTACAAGTAGCAGAAAAGAAGAATGTTTATTTTACTACGGTCACCTCTACAGCAGCAGTCAAAAGTTATGGAAAAAAAATACTGAAGCCTAAATTTCTCTCCAGACTAGTTTGTTACACAGAGCTGTTCAGGGCAACATCTGACATCTGGCTAGAAAAATTACATGTAGATATGCGAGCCTCAAATCATCAAAGTCATACCAACAATTTAATGTATCTTTTTAAAGTATACAAAAGTCCCCCCCAGATTATTCAAACATTAACAATGGATCCACTTAATAGAAAACCAATACCTCTAGGGAAAACAGTAGAGGAACATACCTTTCATTTTTAATTAAACATTATCATTGACAATTAGAATATGTATGGATTTGACTAATTATTATTCTAAATGGTGTTTTGTCCTAGTTTCCTAGGCTATCTCTCCACACCTTTGATACGCGACGGTGCACTTCCAATACACATGTATAAAGCTGTCTAAACAAGTCCTTTAGAAACAAATAGTACTGCTTAGTTTCAGCTGTAGTGAGTTAAACAACATTGAAATTCTGTATAAACCATCACGGACATCTGAAATCCTGAAGCCTGCGAGACAAGAAGATCAGTCTGTTCCCAATCAGTCTGTCTCCAACCTGAACGAAAGGTGCCTTAAAGGCGGTTCACCCAGAAACCAATGCGGAGGCACTGGACTTCAGCCTATATCACATCTTTCTGCAAATTCCTCCCATGCCCTTCTTGACAAGCACCTACGGTTGTTCCCTTACTCTGCTGAATCCAGTGAATTATGTACTTAGGCAGCCAAGAAAATCAGCAACCTAGAGTGTCTTCCCATCCTCTCTCACACAGTCTTCAGGCTCCACATCACTTAACTCTTCCATAATATTCAGAACCATGTTTCCTTTACAGCAAATTAATATACAAACAACACATTTTTGACTACTGTCATGAACATGAGAAGGCTACAGAATGTACATGGCTCGGAGACCTCACTCCAAAGTCACGGAGCCACCTAACCTCAGCAAATGAAACTAATTCAGAGTCATAATCATTTGCTGCTTCCACCTGCTTAAGGGGCAAGGGATTTACCATGGCTCTGGAAAACTTCTTTTAGGAACAAGGGCTTTACAGTGCTAGGGAGGCAGAGCTGTGAGCCTGGTAGCTCTAACATGATCATAAAGTGAGGCAGGGGACTAATCCCCTTCTTCTAGCTGTTGTAACTGCTGAGTGACTAAGTGTTGCTCTACCCTCATTCACTAACAGTCTCCTCAGAAATGAAAATAGTGCTGCCTGCTGCTCAGCTCTTCTCCAGCCCATTTACTGTTTGGAATATACAGATTGGTCTCTGCTTGTTTCTTCTGGGGAAGAAGATGGTTGGCCAGGTTCACGAACCACCCCTGAATCCTGACTGTCAGCTTCAGTAGCTGAAATAAACATGAAGAATAGAAAAAGGTCAGAGTTAAACACAAACAAACAAGCCAAAACCCCCACACCCTGTATTTCAGTTTGCATTACACCTGGTATCAATCACATTTCCAGAGGTAAATTCTCAATGCAAAATTACTTTCGTCAATCCAGTTTGTTTTTCCACCCAGTTATTTCAAAGGTGCCTGACATCAAGAGCTGCAGCTCTCTGGACTGAGATACTGCACTTCAGACAGCAGTTGATTGTTTCAGCCATGCTTAAAGAAATGTAGCAAGAGTGCTTTGAGACAGCAAGTGTTGAAGCTGTACTGGAATAGAAGTATGAGGCAGACTCTTTTGCCTACTTAATCACAGTGAATCTATGCCATGCCTTTTTAACACTCCTGTGAATTCTCCTTTGAGATAATCCCTTCTTCAAATCCAACTAGAGATTTTCATTTTATAAAGTACTTACTTGCCAATTTGCATGAAAAGCTCCCTCATTTCCTCATGGGTGACTTGGGGTTTTATTTGTTTTTCTGTGGCTTGCTTTTTTAGAAATCCAACAATCTGCAATCAGACTCTGTCCTCAGATGCTGTACTGGCTCTTTTACTGGACACACCTTGTGTTTATTTTGTCAAATGTCCACAATATTACTAGTCAATACTGCATGAAATTGTGTAACAACATGGGCTATACTTCACACCACTGCTGTAAACCTCACTGGCCTCAGTCATTCAGCTGCAGTCAACTATTGACTCAAACCTCTCTGGCAGCAGCTTCTAGCCCAGCTTCTAGCCTTGGAAAATCTTTTTCAGACAGGACTTGTTTTTTTTTTTTTTTGTCTTCATCTCAGATTCCCTTCGGGGCAGAGATCACAGACATTTCATCTCACCAGTTGTCCCCTGCTAGAGTTTTCTATATCCATTTTCCTGCAACAGTTTTGCCAGAAAGCCCATTTCGCCTCAATTTTGGAGGTCTCTCTGGAGGAAGGATGTTCCCAAGTCTAATTGCAGGTTTGAGTCAGTTCCTTTCTTGGGGGAAAAAAAGACATGATGCAATCCTAACACATCCCTATGCACTGTTACAGATTTTCTCTTTTTTTGAGCATCTTGAATACCAGAATCAAAGGATTATTAGTTTCACTGTAATGTTTTACATCTGCATCTTCTGCTGGCAGGCTATTTTGTATATGACCTCATGCAGAAGTATCTCCCCTCACTGGGTCACAATTGCAAATTCCTACATATCCTGGAGCACAAATGCTATGTAGTGGAATTAATTTGTACTTTCTCCGTAGTACCAAGAAAGCTGGATTGTTCTGTGAGCAGCACAATGCATGATGCATTGTTTCCTATGGCTATGTGCCTGGGTTGTGTTTTCCCTAGCGTGTAATAAGGGCTGAGGTCATTAGATGGCATTTTGCTCTCTGGAAGGGTGCTCTCATGACCTCCCGTCTCTATCCAGTTGCCTGTTTTCCTGATTGTTTGGCTGGTACAACTTCACTCTACCAGTACAGGACTGGATTTCCTCTGTTTTCCTCACACAATGCCACTACTTCTCTCCATGTCCCCCATGTCTGCTACTCCCAGTTCCTTCCCATTCCCACACACTCCCAATAAAATAGCTGCAGCTTCCTACAGGTCCTCTGCCACTGCAGTATCCCCTTCTGTCCCCTCCAAATCACAAAACCCGTTAATCCTCACATATACTTTCTGGTCTGCCTGCCAGCCGTCAGCTTCCTCTCTTCCCCTCAAACTCAGCCTCTATTATTTCACTTCCAGCACACCAGTATCTCCTACTTGCTCCATTAAAATCCTTTAAGATGCCTTTGTTAGCATCTTGAAATAACTTTACATTTCTACGATGTTGGTACACCCCACACACTGACATACTCTTCATATTCCTGTTGTCCACCACATCTCCGGCTTACTTTTCTTTGTCTTTCCAGCCAGACAAGAAGCAGGTATGCTCTGACTGCTCTGAGGATATGTGCCCATTGCTGGGCTGACTGGCAGGCACTTGGTTGTTGGCAAGGTACACACACGTCAGTCAGGAATTGAGTGTAAGCTGACATGGCTGTAAACAAACCATTTTGTGGGAGGCATCTGTTTCCCTTGCAGATCAATATTGTGTAGGCCTGTGATCACAACAGATATGTTTAGCTGAAAATAACTAATGGGTTGAGAAGTTATAAGAGGACTGACATTAACAGAAAATGAGACTGCACAAGCCTTATGTTGTTGAGAAACCAGGCCAAAAACCCCCAACTTATATTTTGTCCCACATAACGACCATTAACATCTTTTCAATTCAAATGAGATAATTATACTCCTCTATTTCTCCTTCCTCTTACACAAAAGATTTGATTTTTCACTGGGTGATTATTGTAATCTGTTTCTTAAACAGTCAGATTAACAATTTTTTATTCTGGTGTTCAGGAGGAGAAATAAAGTTGTATTTATTTATCTGCATTTTCAAAAAGAATTTAAAATAAAGCTAGCTGTTCACTCATCTAGTGCTAGTGTTTAATTCTCTGAGCAGCTCTACCCTCTTGTGGTCACAGCTAGCTGCAGCCAAATGAAAGACTTTCAAATATAATCACAAATATGTCCACATGTAGGCACAATACACGAAAGAGACCCGAAAGAGACCTGAAAGAGAGGGGCACAAAGACTTAACCTATGCCAGAAATTTAAAAACCTGTGCGATTCAATAAAGCAACTTGAGATTTTGAAGATTGGCTCTTTCATTCACGGCAATTAAAATGTAGGATTTTCAGATGAGCAAGAAATTTCATACTGTTCATGCTAAGTGTTAGTCTGCATTTTTTTTAACATTTGGTCTAAACTGCAACAGAGCCAAGTAATTTTTAAAATATGTCCCAGAAACTAGCTATTTAGAAAAATATTTTCATTTTGAGAACATCAGCAGATCAAATTCTGGAATGGCTTTGAGTCCTGGGGCCTGCAACGTCTGTTTGAAATTGAGGTGTTTGTTAGCTGGAAAGCCCAAGCATGTCAGGCCACTTTCCCTAAGTCAGGCCTGTCTAGAGCTGTACAAGCTGACAATTTGTCCTGGGACTTCAGGATCTCAGTCCTGGCTCCATCACAGTGATCTGTGAAACCCTGAAAACTAGCTAGAATCTGGGTCTCTTGAGGCTTCCACCTCTGTGGTTAGGTATTGAAACCAGGTTAAAACTGAATCTCCCAGGGTTCATCTCATACTTCCTTACCATGTGCTTCCTTGGTTGTTTCAGCCAACATGTTCAGTGAAAGGGGAGGTGGAATGTAATGAATTCCTGGCAGAAAACCTGGTGGGATGAACTGAGGCAGAGGAGTGTAGTATCCTTGATGGAAATTTCCGCTTCCATCTGGAATCTGCAGAAACACATGAAGCAAAGCATCTTCCATCTAAAGACTCTCTCCAGCACGCATCTGCAGCATCAAACAATTTCTGTTTCAATCTTTACCTGTGAATATTACATTTTTTGTCCATTTTGTGGCCATATGCTGCCACGTCTGTGCACGTACTGGCATGTGCAAAGCCTGTACATAGTGTAACACACTGAAACTGAGAAGTGGCAGCTTCTCAGACCATGTCTCATCTGAAATTGACCTTCTAAGTCCTCATCTTCTATTCTAGTATCTCATTAGAGTAGTTGGTTTAAACCAGGAGCAGCTCACCTTCACCACTGACCTGCTGCACTTGCCACTGAACAAGTCTGTAACTTTATGCAACAGAGAGGCAACCTAGGAAAATGCTCCTTGCCAGTACCTCCCTGCTAGTTCTGGATTCTCCCCTGAGCCCAGTGAAGTGAGTGGCTCTGCCTACACTGAGGGGCTGGTGTGTATCACAGGGTGCCCACAGCCCATGTCTTCCATGATCACTAGACCTATTAGAGCATGGTAAAACTCATCCCATGTGCAAGGAGAGTTTTCCATCCCTCAGAAACACTAGCATCAGAGAAACAGGACCATTTATCTCTTGGATCTGGCCATGCACAGATACCTGGTACAGATAGAGCTCATATGAGATCTTTCGTTCAGTTTCAGGACAGTTAAAAATTAAGTTCAAAACCACATACAGTGATGGTCTAAACAAGGCATTTCCCAAGCTGTGCATATCAGCCCACCAGGACTCAGACTGCTGATAGCCACGCTCTTTCTCAATAATCCCTAAAATGTGACAGGGAATGTCTATGCAAGCATAATAAATCTAGTAGTCTTGAGGCAGATCACTCTGCCTTAACAAGAACTTATGAATTGTACTCAATGCAGACAGAACGGTGCATGGCAACTGGAAAGCTGATAGTGTGCCCAACTGTGGTACAAAAACTGGACACCACCAGTTTAAACCAACATGACTGACAGCACTGAAAGGAACTGGAAGTGCCCCCACACACCATTACAACTGACAGGCAGTTCAGCATCTTGTTTCTTACCATATCTATGTGGTTTGAAGGTGTGTGCCCTATGATGCCAGATGTCATTTTTCATCTGAAACTTGGGTTAACCACAACAATTTTCCACTGTTTTTGAGAAACCAAATGTCTCAAAACAGAAGCATCCGACCATTCTGATTCACTTCCTTGTGGAAGCTGATTTTCCCTTGTTCTTCTCTGTGGCTTTGGTGCCTTGGCCAAGCCCTGACACTCTCCCTCCCCATTAGATTTGTCAGGCATGGAAGAAGAAGAACCTCCCAATGCACATTCTGTGCCATCTGTGCTGGCACAACATGACCATATTAAGTGTCCTACTGCCATCATTCCACAAGGCTGTTGCACATGTTAGCAGGATATATAAGCCCCAAAATACTTCACAAAATCTGGTCCCTTGCAAGTGCATGGGTTTGCTCTTCTGGGTTCAGGTCAGACTATCGGACATTACCATTTGCTAATGTTTTTTTCTTCAGCATAATATACCAAAATGCTGTGAAATAACTGGTAAGCAGGGTAACATTTCATGGGTACTTTAACAGCAAGATAGCAGGTGAAAGTAAAGATAGCAGTATTTCCAGAGGTAATTCAAAGACCATTACTTACTGACACAGAAGCTGCATTCCCTGGCCCATAGTTGCTAGGAATGTGTCGGAAACCTCTCTGAAGTGATATTCCTGCAGGTGATGGTGCTCCCCTACAGCTTGACTGATTGATGGCAAATCCCATGGGAAATGGGTGGTAAGGATATACCCCGGAACACCCAGGGTACACTTTTGGAGGTTCTCTCTCCACATATTCTGGATTGACCATGTATTCTGGAGGAAAAGCAGGGTGAGCTAGGAAAAAATGAGAAAAAAACAAATTAAAGTATCCATGTCATTCTATGGAGTTCAGGACAAGTAGCTGTAGGACCAAATTCCACTCTTAGGCAGGAGAATATGGCCCTTTGGTTTCATGCTTAGCTCCTCGTGAATTTATTTTGTGATTTTTTTAAGGAACTAAGGAAAGGTGCAGCAGATGATACTGTAATGCAGAATGATTGGTGTTCTTTGCTGCCTTGTGCATTGTAAAGCTAGTCCTTAGTAAAGCACTGGCTGCAGAATCTTATTCTTTCAGTACATCACCAACAGCAAAACAACCTACCTTAAGACTTTTTACTCTAGCAGAACTTAAAACAAAAATCTACAGAATAGAGTTCTAACTTTAGTCCTACCTGTCACTTCTTAAGTTAATTTACAAAGGCTCAATTTTAGGGACATACATTGGCAATTTCAGTTGCAGGAATCAGTTACTTCCTTAGTTTTTTATCTTTCATCTGGAATCTTATATGGCCTCTCTGAAGTTTTAAAAAAGAGTGGTTATTTGAATACGAATAGGGTCTTTCTTGTCTGCATGTCCTCTTCTTGGTAAAGAAGTGGAAGAATTTTCTTCGAGAGTAGGTTGACTTCTCAAGTATTGGAACTGTACTATTTGTCCCTAACCTTTTTTAAATTTGGTCAGCAGATTAAAAATGTTATTAAGGGAAGGACTGACAGCCGTATGTACAGCTAGCATCATCCATAAACATAATTTTCTTAGAAAACAAAGCTAAAAAAAAGGGGGAACAGTTATTGACAGATTAGGTGGGAACTAGAGTTGTCTGAAATTACTCTTTCCTCTGGGCTTCTCGAACAGCATTTTGTCATGCAGGCTGCCAGCCCTCCAGAGGCTCAGGCTAATGACTGCTGCAGTCTGTAGGGATTTCCCTACAATTACTATAGTAAATAGTAATAGTATGAAGTTACTGTAATAAATAGTAATAAACTAGACAAGTCACATGAAAGACTCTATTAAAGGAAGCAATTTAAGAGGTGGCAGACCATACAACTCTTCCACCTGCAAAATCTATGGTCTGCTCTTAAACACCAAATGCACTTTTACACCAAGTGATCCAAGCGAAGTTCAGTCTTTGCTACAGGAATTAAGGCCAAAAGGTCCCTTTCTTTTACAGTGCTGTCATAGAACTCTTGCTTCAGGCAACTGCAGCGGCAACTTCCCCATTTACCTGCCATCACTGAGGTTTTCAGCATTTTTGTTGCTGCAGGCTTGTGCCTATGAATTTATAAACAGTGAGACAGCATTTGGAGAGAAACATGCACAAGCACCTGCAGTGCACAATGGATCAGTTTGGTTTCCCTCCCAGACTAATTCCCGTCTCAGAGGAAAGCCGTTTGCTTAAGCTTCAACTTTGCAATAAGCTGTGAGGCTGAGCACATTGCTCCTGCCGCTGCAGAGCCGCGCGACCCATGTTGCAAACCCGACAGAAGGGAAAATACATGCAGGGTTGCACGTTCAACATGCAAGCTGGATACCTGTGTCCACTGAGGAAGGAAAGAGGCAGAGAACTCCAGGGAGCTGGAGCCTGAGGCATCAGGCGGGTGCAAGCTGCGCCAGTCTGCAGTGTTTGATGGGGGAAGAGGGAGATGAACAGGGAAAGAAAGATGGAGAGACAGGGGAAGAGGCTTTGGGGACAAGCCCTTACCATAGTCCCAGAAGGGAGGGCCGCTGGGAGGTGACAGCGGCCCCCTGCATGCTGTGCCTTTGCCGTTGCTGCCCGTGGGCTGGGTGCCCTTCATCCCCTCATGGCTGCTCTGCTCAGGGGCACTGGCTGCCCCGGCAGAAAAAAACGGCCCCGCGCCAGCCGCGGCGGGGCCTTCGCCTGAGGGAGCGGCCCCTGCGTCTGCCGCAGCCGGGGGGTCGGGCAGCTGCTGCCTCAGGGCCTTCTGGGCCGCCATGATCTTCTGGCGCTCAGTGATGAGGGCGCACTTGTCGCACAGGCAGAGCTTCCAGCGGCAGTGGCCGGCATGGCCCTTCACCGGCACCACGAAGCCGTGGTTACGGCAGCGGGAGCACTTGGGGGTCCGCAGTGCTGCCTTCGTCGCCACCGCTGCGGCCTCCTCGGCCTCCATTGCACACCAGTCCTGGCTAACCACCCTGGCACGATGGGGCCAGCTCCTCAGGGTTTTTATATAGGGCATGGCCGCTGCCTCCCCAGCATGTAGCAACCTGGGCAGGCGGGGCAGGAGAGCCCATGGCAGCGGGTGGGGAATGCCCCGCTCTGGGGAGCCTGTGGCACAGGAGTAGCCTTGGCCTCACAGGTCTGCCCTCCCTCAGCCAGGCACAGCTGTACCTGCCCGCCTCCCCGTGCAGTCCCCTGGTGCGGGCGGGAGCCAGACCTCAGCCATGGGCGGCTGGAGGAAGAGGGAGAGTGGGTGCTGTGTCTGCAAGAGCAGGGGGAACGTGCCGCATGTTTTAGTACATTTCCTTGTGCTGGTGCATGCAGAGGTGGGGTGCACATGGGAGGGAAATGCAGTGTGCCTTACAGTGCTGCCTTAAGTGATAGTTTTCCCTTTTGGCACTTCAACATCCGCACTCCCTTTCATACCTCTCATGCCTTTGCTTTTAATATGCACAGGATTTCAGTTCCATTTTGTTTCCAATTTGCAGCATGCTTCTCTTAATCAGGAGGAGTGACTGCCTCAGCAGAAAAAAAAAACACTGTTTCATCATCCTGTTTTTCAAAACAAGGTACTAAGATGAAGGCAGAAAGTGTATGTCATTCAAAAGACCTGTCTCCTTTTCTCAGAATTCCTTATTCTCTGGAAACAAAGACAGGCTTTCAATTAGAAATACAGGAATGCTCCAGTTCCAGTATTGCTTAGAAAGCACTTGTTATTTGTTACTGCTGGTAGCTACAAAACCATGGTTTACACAGTAGCCTATTTACAGGAGAAAACCCTCTGCTTTGAAATGTAAGGCATGACACTGCTGATTTTTCTCACACATGCAATAGCTAATTCTGTTTTAAAATCTTGAGATGACAATAACTTCTACACTAAAGAGAATAAACCACCAAGTAGTTGTGGAGTTTTTTACCAATTACTTTCGAGAGAACAGGTAACATCTATCTGCTGCTCTGAAACAGTTTTAATATGCAACAGAGTATGTTTCACAGCAGCCTTGCAGAAGCCCTTCCCTTGGAGCAAACCTTCCTGCAAGATTTGGGCGCACCCCTCAACATCGGGGGGGTAAGGCCCCGGCATAGCAGGTCCGTTAAGAGATTTGGTGACAGTCTGTTTTGCCTTAGCAGTGAGCAGCCAGCCCCTGTGCCCTGCAAGCCCCCAAGGCTCAGCCTAGATTCAGGCTTCTCGCTTTGCAAAAAGACCCAGTAGGGCTTTGCATCCGAGTCCTGCAGGTTTCCAGTAGGAAAGCCGGTATACAAGCCCCGACTCGCTCTCGAAAGCAATTCAGACCCAAATCCTCAAATGTGCATAGTCCCTAGATCACCGAGCACGGCAGCAACCCCAGCCTGCCGATTTTGCTATCCCAGTTGCAGACTGCATCTTTGGTTGCTGCTTTTTGTGAGGGGCTTTCAGCGATGCCTTTGCACCCGTGCGTTCAGGGAGCCCGTGCAGGAGCAAGTCCAAATCTGCGCAGGCACACAGCAGGTCACGTAGGAGACCACCACAGTGCTCTGTAGAAACTGGGTGCTGGTTTGCATGCACAGCAGCACCTTTGTGGGGACCGCAAAGCACACATGCAAATGTAATCAACTCCCTGTCCTTAGCTGCAGACCATTTTCCCCAGAAGACTTCTAAAACGCTGTCTAGAAAGCCAGCTTCATGTGCATGGGCATGTGCATTGGCATGTGCATTGTGGCTATATGTCTTTGAAAATTTGACCTGAAAATGTTACCATTTCCTCCTAGTTCAGAAAGGTCCTTGGTTGATAAGCCTTTAATAGAAGCTACTCTTAAATGCAGTCTTGAAGTGCTGCTCGCTTATGCCAGTGCCTTGATGTTCCCATAATCATTTGAAACATTGCCTCTGTATTAAATATAGGCTGATAATATATTCCTAATTTTATGCTACATATTTTTGCTCTATGTTGAGGATGTGCATATTTAGCTGGAGCGTGAAAGAGGATGGATGACACATTTAAACAAACTGTAATTATGTCTTTCCATAGATACACAATCTGTGTTCATTTGGATACTTAAGCAGTGGAGGAGAAAGGTAGGCCATGTACATTTTCCCCAGTAATTTTCTATTCTGAGTCACATAACACTACTATTTGAGACATGTACTCAAACATACTTAAATTTCTCTCTCTCGGAAAGGTATACTAGCCATGGGCTGCAACACTTTCTCCATTAATAAACCATGTCTTTCAAAGTCATGTGGATTTTTCTTTTGAACAATTTTCACCTAAGCATTCAGGATTTATTATACTGTCCATATAGTTTGTTTCAAACATAACTAGACTTGCTTTTTATAGAAAAGTGAACTTTTTATTTTGCTTGTGAGGTAAATATTTATTGCTGCAGACACTTCAAAGAATTCTGCTATTCCAATCCTGTTATGTGTTTATATATACATTTGATTTACCTTATCACACACCATTAGCAACACCATCCCACAAAGAAGACAGAACAATTTTAAAATACATTTTTGGAATGAGATGTAGAATTGTATGTGGATGCAGCTTCATGTCTATTATAATTTTCGCCTTTATTCATATTTGAAAGAAAATGAGGCACAATAAAGAATCTTTTCTCTAAAACTTACTCAGTTCACTCTAGCATTTTATGTAACATTTGGTGGGACTGTAACATAAAGTGTGGACAGACAGTGTTCTGTATTAAAATAGCATTTACAAGAATTATTATCTTGCCAAAATGAAAGGAAAGCAACCTGCTGATTTCATGTTATTGAACTCAATAGCAGTAACTTCTACTTTCCAACTTCTGAATCATATGAAGTGTGTGGTTTTGGTATGCAGTTTGCTTTGTACATGAAACAATGAAGAAAAACAATGATTTAGCTAAAAGGAAACAAATCAAAAGACTGTCTGCCTTTAAATTGCATAGCAGAACATTGGGCTTTGTTTTTTTTCTCCTTCTCAGACTTTCCAGCTAGCATTTTACGCAGCAGATGTTTTTTGGCAAGGAAATTGTTCTGCTTACATCTGACATTTCACAGAGCAATAGCACCATAATCAAGAAATTTGTTCAGTCCAAGATCTCCATTAACAAATATTTGCAACTTGGTTCAAAATAAATGTTTTCTTCTGCATAACAATAAAGAATATCTTTTGAATTTTTAAGACATCACATATAAAGATAAAATCCTCTCTTCAAAAACTATCTTAGTAGTTTGGAAATGTCCATTATGTACTTCCATAAGTCATTATATAAAAATTGATATAGTGTTCATGTTATTAGCTCTTCTACATTATAACTGGTTGGTCCCATGTTTGTGGCTATCAGTTGTGGTATACTCAACATGAGGACATTTACCTGCACAGGCAGAACTGCCCAAGGAGAACTAGCGAGGCTTCAGATGCTCCCCACCACTCCACACCCAGGCCCTTCTGTTATCCAGTCTTAACAAATACTTTGACTCGACCTGTGAATTGGTAACTGATCTCCTGGCTTCAGTCCCTTTTGGGTTTACGGAGAGATTACTGTGGCTTCCTGCACTGGCAGAGGAGCTTGCAGGTTAATTTCCAGTCCCTTACTGGACATCTCCAGTCAGGTCTGGCCCACAGGCTGGCAAGAAACCTTCTCTAAACTGCCACGGAACATCAGTACTTCCTTCCCTGTCTTGTTGCTGGGAAGAAGATGTTTTCACCTCCTTACATGTCCCTGGTGTATTCATTCATTAAAATATAGCTTGGCTATCTCGACACTGTTCTTTCTCTTCTGTCCATCCACATGTCTAGAAAACCAGGCTTCCTTCCCCTCCTGTCTAGATTAGGATGCTGCAGTATTCTTTCCTCTGAACTCCACATATACAATCTTTTCCCACTCTTAACACACTCAGAAGCCTTCAGCAAGGATGTTCTGGATTACGTGGTGCATCCCTTTGCCTTCCTCCCACTTCCCTTTTGCATTAATTACGTCCTGCTTCTCTTCCCTTTCACAAGGGAAAAAAAATCCCTTTCACATTTTATCCCCATCATACCAATCAGCTCACATTCACTGTCAAGATAGGGACTCTTACCCTCACCTGGTCCAGATTATAATTTTACTAAGTAGCATTGATGACACATCTTCATGCTTTCTTCTCTAGTCATCCTTATATTTAGAAGCTCCTTATAAAAACCATCAAAGCCTTTAAAACGTCCTCTGACTGACCTGCGTGACAAAAATCTGCCTTTCACCGTTGAGCTAACACTAGTGCATATCCATCAATATCTGTCACAGAACTGCAAAGTTCAACTAGCTGCTGATATCCTTACAAGGTTGTCTAATCCTGCCCAAAGCAAAGCCTACATGACAATGAATAAAGTTCTTTGAGTTGCTTCTGTAGACTATATTTTCCACCTTTCTAATCACTGTGAAATTGTACTGTAGTAAAGATTTTTTTAAATGTGAGGAAAAGTGCAGTATAGAAACAATTCAATATGATTAGATCATATCTACCTTAAGATTTGAAATGGCTACAATGTGTTTGGATTACACCATTTTTAAAACTGGTTCCAGTTAAGTCATTTAAATTAATATAAACAGATTCACCTTTTCAATTCTCTTTCAGTGTCAATTCCTTTACTTCAAAATATTGTCTTCAGTAATTCAAACAGGAATTCCACTGGGGTGGATTTTTTTGTTGTTGTTACACAAGTTTTAGGTGGAGCACAATTACATGTTGATTTTCATCTGCTGTATCAAAAAGGTGAAACTCTATGCTATGGTCAGAGAAAATTGGACGGAGTTCATACATAAGTTTAAATCTTAAACATTTATAGAAGTTACATATAGCACTCCTGGTTTCTTTAACAAACACAACTCAAATAAAGCTTGAGTACTTAAAATTGTGGATCTTTTTAATATATAGCAGGAAAACTCAGTTCTTAAATATTAACAATAGAGACTTTATTACTATGACTGCTGTTTGTTTATTGTAAC